CGCTGGGGTCCTGCGCTCTTCGTATTATAGCGAGGGGCGGGGCCGTTTCTCTGGGCGCTCTGCACTTGCCAATGGGGAACAGCGCGGGCCCGTCGTCTGGCCCAGGATGGGGACTCGCCTCGGCACTGAGAGCTCCCCCTGCTGCTCGCGCCTGCGCAGGGCCCGCAGCCGAGCCTGCCTCGGTCCTCCTTGCTGCAGAGAGGTTCATGCTCGTCACTGCCCCCGTCTCCTCACCCCTGGTTCTTCCAGGATTTCCCCTTTGCTCAGGAGTCTCCGCTTTTATTTCTAGTCCTGTGACCCTGCACACGCCTGGTTTGAATGGCACTCGGGGGGCTCACCGTCCATCAATCTTTGGGCCTTGCCCCACTGCTCAAATTAAAGCTGGATGGAAACTGGCTATAGCCATGTGATGCATCGAGCACAAACTGTGTGGCCAGTTGGCTGTTTTTATAGCTGGCTTGTGGTTTTTATCATGTGAGAGTGATTTTGCACGTATGGTCGACCATCTCCGTTTATTGTGCAGTTCAGTTAATGGCATAATATATGTAATATGTACCAGGGGGCTTTGGCCCCCGCATTTGTTATCTGCTGCAGTTTCATCTTTTTTTAGCGGTGTTGGCCTGGTGCTGAAGCCTGTGGAGCAGTGGTGGGCGTACCCAATTTTCATGAGGGCTCCTCATTGGCATCAGCCTTTGCGAGCTGTCAACTGGCCTATTAGTGTGCTTAACGTGCTAATTTTAATCTGTGTCCCCTACAGTGTTAACTAAATGCCTCACAAAAGTCTCACTGTATCACATCTATGCAGTTGCCTTTATCAGCCAGTTTCAGAATTTTACCAAGAAATCAAATTTAGTTAATTGGCAAGTAACAGCAGCCTTTATTTTGCTTGTAGGTTACTTGCCTTAACCTTTTATTCAGGTTAAGAGTGGTAGGAACAAACTCAGCTCCTTTTCTATCAATAAATAATATATTGTATTTATTCTACTCCACAACAGCGGGGCAGGTGGGATGAGGAAGGAGGTTCACAACTGTTTCTCTCCTCTTCCCTGTTCCTCTGAGTAGATTGTGTTGAAATCCTGAATGCAGAGAAAGGCAAAGAGCAGCAGTGGCCTCTTGTGGCTGCAGGCTGGATGTGTGCTGAGAGCCACCAAGTAATGTTACCAATGTATTGTGCTATAAACTACAACCATTGTGTACCAAAGAGAAGACAGCTGTTCACAAGATCACAGTGAACCTAACAGATGGGCCGGCACCAGTAGTCCATCAGCTGCAACTTGGTTGCACCCTGAGGAGTTAGTTTTTAAGTTTTTGTGCTTCCTACAATATTAACTTCTCACGTCGTTCTTTTGATGAGTTTTTATCCCACAGAGGAACTGGAGCTCCTGACTTCCATTTTAGCTTTGCCACCATCCTGCTGTTTTGCAAGAAGATAGGATGCGTCCAGAAAGTGTGCACGTAGCACCTTCTCTCTATTTTCTGTGTTCAGAATAATGTATACTGACTTTAATAATAAGTACAACCGTACCTGCTTGCCTTTCCATGAGCTTTGCAGAAACAGAGTTGTGGGAGCTAAAACTGGATTCTCTTCTGGCTCACGTCACCAGTAATGCTGTTAACTACATTCCACCTGCAGTATCTTTTTCTTTATTCATAGGAGTAGTACAAAAGGAAAGAGGCCAGTTTTTATTTCAGATACGAGAATGTGTATCACTGCAGAGAGAACTAAAACTCCAATTCACAGACAATTCTTTATGAGGTCACCAAGAGAAAAATATACATAAAACCCCATGTTTCTCATTTTGACAGTCACTTTCCTGAATAGTAATGCCATTTATTTTCTCTGTACCTTCCCTCCTTGTACATACAATGGATGTAATAAACCTTGCTCACTTGCCTTTTGTGCCCCTGGATGAAAGTTGCAGCATAAGTGCCCAGAGTTATTTTTGGCCTGTAGGCCAAGTAATACTTGTTTATATTTATGTGTACATACTCTTTGAAATTTTTAATCCTGTTTTTTATATATATGACTTTTAAATAAACATAAAATTCACTACAACTTCTTGTTTGCCTGGTCTCTTAACTATTCTAATCCCAAGACATTATACCCGTGTGAAAGAGCAAGTTTTCAAATAAGCTGTGACTGTCACAGCCAGAACACTAATAAGCCTTCTAGACATATCTGAGTTCAAGTAATACTTTTTTTTTTAAACATATAATGGATACTTGATATTTCTGTTGTTTCATCCAAGCTTCCTAAAATTGTGTACACACACTCACTCTCTGATTGCCCTTTAAAGACTAGTAAGTATACATTCTCATTTACATAGATGTAGCAGGGTGCTTGGGGTCAGGCAGCCTCTGGAGCCACCAGCAGGTGGGGGTCAGGGCTAATCATGGAGTCAACTGACCCAGGGAGCTGGCAGGTGAGGCTAGGCCTGATGAAGGGACTCACCTGATTGGAGGTGGCTTAGGCAGGGCCACCTTCTCGGGCCTCTCCATAATCACTCCCTCTCCAGGCTTACCCAGAGCCTCCTATAAATCCTACAAATACAAGCCCTCTCTCCCTGTCCTTCACCTGGCCTCTCAACAGGGCCCAATCTCTCAGAAGCTTCCACCTTCCTGCTAGGTGGTATTCCTTCCCCAGCTCCTAAGGTGTTACTGCCAGCCCTGCTCTCAGGGTCTGGGCTTACAGCTTGCCAAAACTTGTTAAGTAGCTCTCCACCCAAAATAATTGCCTGCCTCTGCCTTACACCCTGCCTAAATCCAGCCTTCCTCCAATCAGGTGATTCCCTTCATCGGACCCAGCCTCACCTGCCAGCTCCCTGAATCAGCTAAATCCATGATTTTGGCAAGCATGAGACAGTACAAGTAATAATTAGCCAGTGCCACTGAATTCAGTTGCCATCAAGATGAAGCAACACTGAATTTGGTAGCACCTACCTGGAGCCCCTGCAGGGAACCTACAGTTCCTGAAGGCCAAATTCTCAACCAAGCGCTGACCCCTAACTCCTGTCACTGACAGCTAATTTTACTTGGCACCTGAGGCTTGCATGTCACATACCCTGGCCGCCTGTGCTACTTATGACATGCCTGCCACTGGTTGGCCACCACTAGCCTGTCCTTTCAGCACATGGTTAATGATTTTGTGAGCTGAAAGGAAGTATAGAAAGGCTTCTAATGGTCAAGGGGTTGGGGAAGAACCCCTGCTTTTGCTGATTAGTTATTTAATGCTTGAAACATGTCTTAGGTAAACCAAAATGTAAATTCCTTCCTATATCCCAGCCTTTCCCTTTAAGGCAAAACAAGAAAACACTTCTCCCCAGTGACAGTATTCTCAGCTTTCACATCCAGTTGAAGCAGTGTTTACCTAAAACCTTTACACTCTCTACACTCAGATTTAAAATGAAAAGCATTTACCTTGGGGAGTGGGGTTCCAGTGAGGGAGAAAGAATTAAATTAGGATCCTTTCTTGTCTGTAATTCTGTCTTAGCAAAATAAATGTTTTCTATTTTCTATCACTTTTATCTGTTTGCTGAACACCTAATATTAGAACTTGATATGACCCCTTTCACTTCTCCACAAAGTCACACAAATAACACATTTGTAACATTTTGTTTGTATATTGCAGTATTGCTCGTCACAAGCATTAACACCCAAAAGCTGCCCCAACCCCCTAAATCATTTGTTTGGCAGCTTGAAAATTATGATAAGGTTTGTTTGTTTTTTAAACCATAACCCTTTTTTGGATTTCTTCACTTGTCTTTTTAGTTTTTACTTTAATATGCCTTTAGGTTTCAGCATTTCAAACCTTCCTGTGTAACCATAAGAATGAGAATAGTTTTTTGTTTATTTTTAGTGAAAGTCAAAATGTTCATATAATATAACTCTAAGTTATCAGGCTTTAAGGGAAAAAAATACCAAATACCCAAAGATTCTTGATGTTGTTGTGAGAATTGGGAACACTCAAATTATATATTTTTTCATGGAAGAGCATGTGGCAAAAGGGGAAGATACATTGCCAGTATGGCAGAGGAGGTTTTGTCCTAGCACTAATCTGGCTGTACTTTGTGTGGGGAAAGTACATTGGTTTTCAATGCTGTCAAAAAGGAAATTCATTCAGTAAAACTCTTTTCCTGAAAATATAGTAGAGTGGGGAAAAAAATCAATATTCAGTGTTCATTGTGCAAAGGTGTTCCAAAAGTGGTAGCCAAACAGGTGCATAAAATGTGTTTAACTGCTTGAGTGACAGATTATTTCTACTTGGAGAGCAATACATTGGGCACATCATTTAGGAGTAATTTTTTATGCTTTATTAATCAGGGTTTAATTCAAACTGGTGATCTAAAAGATAAAGTCACCCTACTCTTTGACAATAAACTGAGCTCTCTGATTCCCCTCATTTCATGTTTAACAGCTGCGGATTTGTATACCAGTAGTAATTATGCTTTAT